GCCTGCTTAAAGCAAAGGTTGGCAGCCAAAGCTAGACTTAATGTTTATAGGAAACACAGCAGAATTACTTCCACATATAAAACAGGGCTTTTAGCCATGGAATAGCCAACAGCAGAGTGCTAATAGCAAACATTTTCTATTATGTATTCAAGAAACAACTGAGAACAGGCTTATATTCTGTTCCTGTCAGTCATCACTCTCACAAGTGAAGAATTTTGGTCACAAGCTTTGTCTCAGTTGCCAATTTCAGGAGAGTTAGATAACACTCAGGAAAATTCAATTGCCTCAGATGGGTACAAGGAATCAATAGTGGTTATTCTAAGAAATTTGTCCTTGTGTTCCGACGGCCTGAAGGAAAGTATCTCTCCAGCTATCTACTGTTAAGTCCCCACTTCCAACTAGCAAGTACTACTACAGAGGTATTATTTTGATTACTTACCACAAGCACTCTCATCACTGCCATCTGAACAGTCTTCATCACCATCACATTTCCAGATTTGAGGAATACAGCGTCCATTACCACATGCAAACTGGGATTCTTCACATTTTGTTCTTGCACCTTCAAAGAAAAAAAACCTACACCTCAATACTGCTAAGCAATGCTATGCTGTCTTTTTTACCACCTCCCTAAAACCTTCTGATTTTTATAGATTCCCACAAAGCAATACCTTCTTGCTTTCCCCACAGATCAAGAAACCACCCAGCCTAATCAAGAGCATAACATCAACACAAAACCAGATATGAGCTCCAAATTTCTGCAATCATCTTATTAGATTATGAAAGTAAAGCCAAAAGCTTTCCTTCACAGTACAAGAAAGTTTAAGCACCATAGCCATTCACCTGCCAAACAGCAGCAAACAGTCTCAGTGTTATTCTCACTCAGTTTTCCTCTTCAAGGCAAAGTCAAGCTTACAAAAATGCGTGCCCAAAATTACTTTTGCTGCCTCGCACCTAGCATCACATTCTCAAAACTCTTCTAACTTTAAGCAAATTGGGTTTAAATTTGATTAATGTCAAGCCAGATTAGCATTTCAATGCTCTGCTGCTAACACATTACAGCAGAATCCCCAAGACATCTGTAAAGGTAGCTTAGATAACTGCTTTGTAGCTGAGCAAGTTTTCATGCTTTATGTTACCCGTCAAAAAGTGGCATCCAGAGACATTCCTTGGTATACATTAAAAGAAGTGTGATGCTAAAAGAGCAAGGTAATTCATCACTTCCTTCTGGAATGAAGTCCATTGTCTCACAACTGGTAAATCTTGGTTTGCTAGCATGTTTGAGTAAGGTACTGCTTTCTGCAAGATCCTTAGAGTGCATTTTCCAGTGTATCTTCAGCTCTACAACTGTGTGACCCCATCCCTCAAGGGAATGTGCTTTGTCTTGGAAGCCCTGTTATAACTGTCACTAAAAGCAGCAGCCTGCATCTTCAGCAGCTAAGCCAGAGCTGTTTCACTTAATGCACGCAGGCAAGTGTGTAAGATAGTGCATCAGTATTGGCTGCACATGCCCAGAGCATGATGCAAGACTCCTGATCCTTCTTGGTTTATTGCATCATTTAGTGAGAGTGCTTTGTCCTGGCATTCAAAGGGCATCAAATTTTAGTAGAGTATTATTTGCTATTTTTATGTCCTCTCAGTAGGACATGCAAAATGCAGGACAGTTTCCAAGCAGAAGGAAGGTACTCAGCCATTTTACATTATACTGGCTAGCCAACAGGCATGAGGTATTCAAATGCTGGACAGTACAAGCAAGAACATGAGCAATTCTATCTCCTGAATGTCTCAAGTAAATCCATGAGCAAGGATGTGAAAAAGCACCTTACTGAGTTCTGCTAATGTTTTAGTAGCCTTGTGGGGGGAGTAGAGCAGTAACCCAGTCATAAGAACAAAGTTAACAACTTTTTTTATGGGAACTATGTTTAAAAAGTACCAAAAATCAGAACATTAGTTATTGTGTATACTATTTCCATTCCCTTGTTTCCTTTTCTGGTTGGGAATTACAGCAGCATGTGCTTTCTAATAGCGTGGCTTTGTAAAGCTGCTACTACTACTTGGTCATGAGCTGCCAGTCAATTAGCTTGCCTTGTGCTAGACAGTACACCCAGCCACCTAAGAGTGGGAGTAGGTGCCACAATTAGAATCTTGTTGTAAGCCTGATATCTTGCTGTCCAGCAACCTCTAAAAGAAGGTTAGAGTTGTGGGCCCTGGTGACATATTTCAGGTTTTACTGTACTACTGCATGAAATAAAAGAAACAACAACCGACTCCTGCTAGTTTCAGGACTTCCTCATCCAGGCGTTCAGAGTGAGAACAGTCAACCTTTCCCAAAATAGCATACAGAGATATTAGACTAAGCCTGCCACTAAGGAGATCCCAAAATAACTCCATGGCCCTTAGCTACTCTGTTTCAAGCTAGAATAACCAGAAAAGGATCGCTAAGGCTGCCTAGTAGGTTGTGACTTACAAATGTAACACCATTTTGATCAAATGCTACAGGGAAGCTACACACATGACTAACAGAAACCAGAGCTGAGCTTGGAGCAACAGCTGTAACTTTACAATTACAATCCTAACAACAAACCGTTCCAAGAATATATCATTGCTTCTGCAGCTAATACCAAGTGAAATGTCAGAGGTACTATTTTTAGCCCACAAACAAGTAAAAAAAAAAAATCAACAAGACCTAACACCTACACAGGTGCACAAAGGTAGAGGTCAGCACCTGCTACTGCTCTGAAGATGTGTAAATGTAAAGCTTCTCTTTATGTGCTCTTCTTACAGTAGAAGCACCTTCACACATTTTCTCTTCATTGGAATATATCTTAGGCTGAAAAATGTTGATAACAGTAACATCAGAGCCTGTGCCTGCTAACACATACTGTTTTACAGTTCCCCAGATAACTACTTACTAGAAGCAGCAATGGGTGTAGGGTGAAGGAGCACAGATACACTGGCTACCCAAGTTAAACTACCTTTCTCCATATCTCTGCTATCACTGTTAGTTCTCAGCCCTTAAGCAAGTTGCCAGATTACTTGTCTGGGCAGCTTCAAACATGTGACACTTGTGTACTGTCATCTGACACCAAGTCCCAGAAAAGCTTCGACCGTGATTGGGAAACCTTGTGAGAGCTCATATAGGAACTAGCTTAGACTTTTCCCAGACCCTGGCAATTACAACTAGTAGCAGAAGAGAGCTGATGGGGCCATTAACTCAAACTGAAAGAACAATCAGAATAACTTGGTTAGCTAGCCTACTAACTCCCATCACTGTGTATCTCTTGTGATGACTTCTGAGCACAGTGAAGTAGCATTTTCAGTGCCAGCCAGCTTGATCTTTCATTCTACTACTATTTAACCATGTCTGTTGTGACCAGGCACGTGAGCAACCTACAGGACTGGGAACAAGAGGTGACTAGCAGACATTTCTCCTCCCTCTCTTTGTATGAATTCTGGATACAACAACACGCTGACAGGGCTCTACCCAACATACCTGGTGTCTAAACAACCGCACGCAGGTGTAGGAAACACTACCAAGATCAGACACTTAGGCCTACTTTAGGATAATAGTCACGAGATTTAAGAGCAATACGACAATGCAGACTTCCAACTGCCCTCCTCATACCTAGGAGAGCAGGCTGAAGCTCAGCTCCTCAGGGAAGAAAGGAGTCAGCCAATAATTATTTCCTCCACTAAAGAGTAAAATAAGCCAGTTGGACGGTCGTTTTTAAACCTCTGCCAATACGGGCAACAGCTTCTACGCCGCGAGGCAGCCCGGGAGCCGGCCACGAGCAGCGCCACTGGCGAACGCCCAGCCCCGGGAGCAGGGACCCGGGGCCGGCAGGACCCAGCCTTGCCACCAGGTGGAGACCCCTCACGGTGGTTGCTCCGGACCCTGAACTAGAGCCATGCCAACTCCGCTGGATACACAAAGCCTAAGTTGCACCGCAGTTTGACAGCACCTTTAACGCCGCGAGCTTCCCAAGCGCTCCTCTTTCGCCCTCCACAATAGAGCCCCAATCCTCCCCGACCCTCTCGCGTTAGCCTCAGCCCCTCAG